TTTTTTTTTAATCTCTTTAAAATTTTACAGATTTCTGTATTTATTCCTTTATTCGTATTTTTTGATTCAGTAATTGTAGAGTAACTCATAATTACTCCAAAAAGAGCCTACTTATCCTTCCATAAATGGGAAAATTTCTCAGTTGATTTGTTTATTTTTTTATTCCGACTTGTATGGCCAAAGTATTGCCCTGGAAACTTACAAAAACATATTGAAGATAAAGCAAAATTATTGTAGATGTTAATCTGGACTTTTTACTTTGGCTTCAATTACATATACTTTTAATAATTTTTGTTAGAGTAAAATAGTGATGAGTTAATTATAGTAGTGAAATTAACCTCTTTATTTTACAGGGAAAGTATTTATCCCTAAACAGAAACCTCTACAGACTTTTACAGAAGAAAAAGTATCTCTTGATCCAGAATTAGAAGAAGCTTTGACCAGTGCTTCTGACACAGAGTTGTGTGACCTTGCAGGTATCTTCTAAAACATTAATTTGTGAATGAGTGTGGAGGGAAGAGGAATACCAGCACACACCTATTCACATATATAGATGCTTCTTTTTCCTGCTAGCAAAGAGCGGTCGAATTAGTGACCACATATTTGGCTTTGTTTTTTTATACTATAAATCTGATATATGGAATTTCGTTTCTTTAAATTCTTTCAATGGTGAAATTTTTATATTAATGGAATTTATTTTATTATTGAAATCTTATCCCATGTTTCCCGTTTTTGAAAGTTTTTATAAAAATTTCTTATCAGGTTGTGCTCAGCTAGAAGCTGTCCCATCTGAGCACTGAAAAAGAGTCTCCAGGGTTGACTGCTGTCCCATTTGATCAGAAAGATCCCAAAATGGGTAACTGGAAAGCAGAAGAAACAGTCAGCCCTGAGCTTGACTTAGGACTTCCCCAAGTTTTCTGAAGTTATGGAACGCTCCAAACTTACCTGTTATTTTAATCATTTCAGGTTTTTTATCTGGACCAGTATCTTCCCCAGCTACCTCCATGTACGCCCATTTTCCTAGATAGTAAAATATGACGCAGGGGGAGATCTTACTCTCAAGTAACCCCAAGAACTAACATTTAAAGGAGCAGTGATGGTCCTTTGGGAATGACTTAGGAAAAGGACAATCAGGGTATGGTCCCAGAGCCAGAGCAGGTGTCTTATTCCTGGGGGGCTGAGGACTGATGGGTTTGTAAATGGTGCATTCATCAGAATGGAATGAATGGGCCAGGGGCACACTGTAGCTTCTGCTTCGTTTATGCAAAAGGGCATCAAAACCAAAACCAAATGTATTTCTACTGTCATTTGAGGAATGCTACTTTAAGGTTAAATATGAGAATTCAACTATACATTTAGTATTCTACTCTTGGCTAAAATACGAATGTAAATTAATATGAGAGTTATTAACAAATTTAAAAATAGTGAAGGTTAAGTTAAAAACCTGCCTTCTGTAGCATGATGTTGCTAGAAACCTTGTAAAAAGGATGAACAGCAAAACAGATCATTTCAATTTTCCCTGTAGCCACCAGATGGAGCTTAAGCATAGATTTACATTTAGGGTTAGGCTGGCTTCCACTGTGTGTCTGGTTCAGAAATGTGGGGAAATCTAAATTCAGAAATGGGGGGAAAATAATAAGGGCATTGGTGAGAAAGAGATTGTAAGTGATTTTTCATCACATTGTCTCCCTGTTTTTGGTTGCACAATCTGAATTTAATTGAGTAGAAAAATATCCAGAGAGTGTTAAAATCATTTGGTAGAAATTTTTGGTTGTGAAGTTAATTCTTTATGTTTAAAACTGATGGAAATTAAAAATAACTTTCTTTTTCTACATTTATAGCTATTCTTGGGATGCACAATTTGATAACGAATACACAGTTCTGTAATATAGTGGGAAGTAGTAATGGTGTCGACCAAGAACATTTTTCAAGTAAGTACTTACAATGCTTTGTGAATTCCAATCCTTTGTTATATATATTTTGTTTTTTCCATGTATCGACTTCAGTATATAGATATCAAATGTTATGTATGTATACTGGAAACCTAAGATTCTACTTGGATGGTATTGACATAGAAAACCACTGAAAATAAAATATGAACTATTTTATGCTTAGTGTATCAGCAAATGTAATATGAACCACTCTCACCTCACTGAATAATATTGTGCTGAACTGTGTAAGAGCTAATCAAATTTGGCTTTTGTTGACATTCTTTTTTCAATGTTAACTAATTTTTCAAGAAATCCACAACAATGCTGACAAAACTACGTTATAAAATCAAATTCAAGAGAAACCACAGAACTATTCAGCCCCTAAACCTCTTAGTCTGATACAAAGTATTAAATAGCTTAAAGCAAAACTTTTTTGAAAATTTACTTCTAGGATGCTTTAAAATTACCAAAGTAATACATACTTTTGTAGCATAATTTAACATTACCTGAGTGTATAAGGTAAGAAGCACAAATGTTTGGTCATAGCCATTGTGCCTTCTACTCCCCACACCCCTAACTATTAATTTGGTATGTAGCCCTCTAGACTTTGTACTGTGTTTATGCAAACTTCACACACACACACACACACACACACACACACACATATACACACATACACACACGCTATACATAGTCTTTTCGTTTGTTTTACAAAAATGGGATCATACTATAGGTATTTCTTGCAACTTAATTTAAAAAAAATACTATTGGCTGATTTTTTTTAATGTTGACTATGTTCTGTGCACAGCTCTTGAATGTGATTTGTTCTCATTTAATCCCTATAATAATTCTATGAAATAGGTATTATTATAATCCTTAATTTGTACGTGAGGGAGCTGAGGTTTTAGAATGATTAAGTAACTAACTTGAATGTCACACAGTGGTGAGGATTTTAACCCATGCTATATTGTATATCACTTAGCTATATATCATGTTTCCTGGTTAGTACATACAGAGCTACCTCATTCAAACATCTGTATAGCACTCCATTTTATTAATGTTCTATAATTTGGCCATTCCCCCTATTTTTTAGCTTTTTGTTGTAGAAATGTTGAAGCATACCTAATATAAGAGAAAATAATATATCCATCACCCAGCTTCAGCTATTTTTAACATTTTGCCAGCCTTGTATCATCCATTGTCTACCTCTCTCCCCACTCCTACCACTTTTTTTTTCCTGGAATATTTTAAAGCATATCCTGTTCATTTGTATGACTTTACCCATAAATATTTCCATATATGTCTTTCCCAAATAAAGACTTTTATTTTAACATGCCATTATCAAACTTAAAAATTAACAGTAATCCTTCATGTTACCGAGTCCATGTTCAGACTTGCCCTATTTTCTCAAAAGCATCATTTTGCAGTTGGTTTGTTAAAACCAGAATCCAAATAAGGGTCACACATTCATTGTATTTGGTTGTCATTGGTTCCAGTTTTTCTTAATTTCCTAATAGTTCTCCTTAACCTCTTTCCCGCTTTCTTCATGCCATTTATTTCTCAAAGAAACTGGGCTATTATTAGTCATGTAGAATTTTCCACATTCTGGATTTGGCTGATTCCAACCTTGTGCCTTCATTTTACATGTTTCCCTATCTCTTCTTAGGTTTCTGTAAACTATTATTTTCTAGAGGCTTGATCAGATTCAGGTGCAGTTCTTTTGGTTTTTGTTTCTTGGCAAGAATGTTTTCTGTGAGGTGATTGAATCACAATAGGAAGCATACCAAGTCTGGTCATTCCTCTTTGGGGAATGTGTTAATATTGACCAGTGGGTTCAAATATTGGCAGCCTGATCCATCCATTTAAAGTTTCCCATGAACTTTTCTTAATGGTTCAGCATCCCATTGACTGGATCCATTTATTTTATTAGGGAGCAACCCTCCTTAAATATAATACATACATTCTGTGGAGCAGGGGAAGAAATCTTTTGGTTTTTATAAAATTGAAAATTGAGGAAGAACTCGTTCAATTTTCCATTCAGTGAGGAAGCTCTTCTCCAGCCCACTTGGTCTGCCATCTTGAAGAAGACTGTCCTGCTGAACTTCCTGGAGAGGAAGCTCACTTTGTTCTTTAGCAGAGCTCTGTTAGGAAGCACCTCTTTGTACTGAGCCAAACTCTGCCTCCTGGCAGTCTACACCTGTTCTGACCCAGCCTTCAGAACAACCTGAAATTTCTCTCTTCTCCTTCCACAGGATAAATCTGAAAACAATGAGGATTCTTTATTTTAATATATACTTCCAGATCTTTCAACTGTCCCCAGAAAAATAATTTTCAGACCTTCGTCTAAGTTGATTTCCTTAGAATGCTGTGTGTGTGTGTGTGTGTGTGTGTGTGTGTGTGTGTGTGTGTGTTTATTTGAAAAGAACAAGTTACTCTTAGAGGGAATTTATTGGATGAGTAAATGATATACCTTGTCTTAAGGTGAGTTTTGCTCCTAAAAGCTAGAGGAGGGCAGATGGGAAGAACTAAGCCAGACAGTGACCCTGTCAGTCTTCCCATGTCAGCTCTTAACTTTTTTGTGGTCATTTGCTTCTTTGAGAATCTAGTGCTATCGGTGCTCTCCCCAGAAAATTTATCGATAAAAGTTTGCCTGTCTGGGTGTTCATAGACCTCCATACACATCTCAAAGCATCCTTGTATCTCAGAGGGTTTGAGACTTCTAGGTCCTCTTTCAACTTTGTGTAGTTGGATCCTGACCATGTGTGTTGGCATAGTGTATATGGTGAGGATTGGAGGTAGGAGTGAAGGAGGGCAGTAATTTTGGGCATTTCTGCCTCAGTAGACTTGTGTGTACCATTACTGCTCTGTTCCCCCATTCCCTATTCCTACTATTCTTCCTAATAGAGAGTTCTCCCCCTTTCCCATTGCGTAGTACTCCCCATGGGAAGAAGAGGTAGTGTGTCCTTCCATCATCTTAGTCTTCCCATCGAGGCTCTAGTTCCTCAAGTCTGTGATTTTTCATTCCTTTACAGTAATTACTAGATCTCAGACAAAATGATATGAAGTGTTAGATTTGATCATATTTGAACTTTATCTTAAACATTGCTAAAAATAAATGAGATCATTGGTTTGTGTTGTCAAGTGTATTTTAGTGGTAAAGATACCTTGTAATATACCAAGAAGAAGTGAAAATATAATTTTTGAAGGCTGATACATTGCAAAGAAATGTTGAATTATGTTTTGTATATATTCAATTAAATTTTATTTGAGTGCTTTAAATGTGTGTCAATACATAAAGGATCATTTAGAAATTGTGGAGAAGAAACTTTTAAATTAGTTCTACTGAAAGAGAGAGAGAGAGAGAGAGAGAGAGAGAGAGAGAGAGAGAGTGTGTGATATGTATTAGCAAGTTAATATATGCATCCACTGGAATAGTGTCAACCAGTGAGACTCTTGCTCTTCTCATTTGTGACTACAGATGTGGTAAAAGGTGAAAAGATTCTTCCGGTCTTTGATGAGCCACCAAATCCAACCAATGTTGAAGAGAGTTTAAAGAGAATTAAAGAAAACGATGTTCGTCTTGTTGAAGTTAATTTGAATAATATAAAAGTAGGTATACTAAACAAACAACATTTTGAATTGCGTTGAGTTAGGTAGATCTAGGATGAGAGCCAAGTAGTTTTGATATAGTATAATTCTTTCTACTTAAAGGTAAAGTTTTTTCTCCGAACAGTATGCTAACATAGATCCCTTCATATTTTAGAAATTAAAGTATTACAGTATTATTTGGACTTGTTTTTTAAAAAGTATCATATAAAAATGTAAACCCTACAGACTGTCAGTGCAAATTTCTCTGGCTTCCAAAGTACTGCTTACTTTTAGGAGCATTTGTCTTTTGGGATTTGTTTTTTAAATCGTGTTTCTTAAGGTATAATTTATATTTAGTAAAATTCTCCCTTTTTAGTGTATAGTTCTATGAGTTGTAACAAATGCATACAGTTGTACAACCATCACCACAATCAGATGTATTATAGAACATACCACACCCCTTTGTCCTCATTCTCTGACCCTATGTCTAGCCCCTGTCAATCACTAATCTGTTTTAAACCTGTCAATCACTAATCTGTTTTTCCCTATCATTTTGACTTCTCCAGAATGTCATATAAATATAATCACGTAGTATGTAGCCTTTTGAGTCTGGCATCTTTCAGTTAGCAAAAGCATTTGAGATTCACCGTGTTGCATATCAGTAGTTTGTTCCTTTGTATTATTGGATAGTGTTCCATTGTGTGGATATGGTGCAATTTGTTTATCCATTCACCAGTTGATAGACATATGGGTTGCTTCCAGTTTGGGTTGATTATGAGTAAAGCCACTGTATACATTCACATGCAGTCATGTTTTGTGTAAACATGTTTTCATTTCTCTTGAGTGAATACCTTGAAGTGGGCTTTCTGGGATCTTACAAGGAGGTTTTAAATGTACCTCTTGGAGGAAAGAAGGAAAAAATGAGTTACAAGGGCATAGGGATAGTTAATTACCAAAGAGTAAGTTCAAATTATCCCTTGGGTATTGGCCGTTGCGTAATAGCTTCATTACAAATTCCTCATTTTGAACCTTGTTTTATCTGAATTGCAGTTGGAGGGAGCATCTGGAAATTACAAGAACCTAGGGAATAAGACCTCTGCACTCCATTAGTGGGTGTTTCTTCCTGTGAGTGGAGGGAAAAATGCCTTGGAAAAAGCTAATATCCCTAGTTGCTCACTAATTTTATTCTTAAAAATTTAATTCTCATATATCTCTGTCTCTAAATTAACAGTAATGATCTGAAAATAACCAAGCTTCAGGGAATTGAAGTCTTAGTACTAAAGGGAAAAATTAGTGCCTTCTAGAACTATATCTTTCCACATTTCATGTAGTGTAGGGTTAATCTCTCTTAATAACTTGTGGCTTAAAGGACTGAGAACAAACAGTATGTCATCTGCCTCAGGAATCATACCCATTAGAGATGTGCTCCCATATCTTTCTCTTTGTAGAAAGCGGATCCACTTTGAATACTCAGGTGTTGACTTCTTTTAATATGAATAATTAAATGTAGAATAAGAAGGAGTTTCTTTAACCTAAATGCTAGAGAAATGGTGATATGTATGTACTCTGCTCTAGGTCAACAGTTTGTGCAAATGTACCGTAATACAGAAGTCAAATAGATATGGAGGAGGCTGAGTTATTTGTTTTCACTTGTAGACTAACTGTTGTGTGTTTATATAATTTCTGAGTACATTTTAACAAGAAATATAAATACAGATATATTTGAGTAATAAACCGAATGTCCTGAAAACTGACATGTAATAATGTTTCATATTATTATCTTTCAAGAATATTCCAATTCCAACCCTAAAAGATTTTGCAAAGGCTTTGGAAATCAACACACATGTGAAGCATTTCAGTCTGGCAGCCACACGGAGCAATGACCCTGTTGCAATTGTAAGTAAGCTACCATGGATAACACCTGAATTATGACTACATGCCAGGGTATGTTACAGAGGTGGCTGAACTGTGATTTTATGAACAAGATTTACTCCCTTTTTTCAGTTGATATTTAGCTTACTATTAGGCAATACCTGATTTACTACTCTTTTATGTTAATTTTTCCTTTATTTCTTTCCTGTAATTTTTTAAAACATAAATGGAGTCATGGAATATATGTTGTTCATCAACTTAATTTTTCACTCAACAGCAGTTCTTAGAGATATTTTTGTATCAGTACATAAAGTTCCACGGCATTTTTTAAAAGATTTTTTTGAAGAATTGGGGGAGGGAACAGTTTTGGGGAATCAGGGAAGAGGAACAGACAAGTTGCTGTCCTTTTTTTATTCTTCAGTCTAGTTGTGGAGGACGTCACTTCACTGTCTCATGCTGGTATTGTGATCATTGCGCTCTTCCCAGCTAAGGCAGATCATTGGACAGCCGCTCACGGCTGCCGGCCACTCACGGTAGCTCACAGCAGCCCACTGCAGCCCCTTATGCCATCGCCGGTGACTCAGCAGCCCAGCTGCAGGTCGAGCTGTTGTTCACCATCTTAGCTGTAGAGGGCGCAGTGTCACTCTACATGTGGGATCCAAACCGGCGGCCCTGCTGCTCAGAGCTCACGCTTCCAAGCCAAATCTTAACCAATGAGCCACTTGGCCAGCCCCCACGGCATTTTTCTAACAGCTGCAGAAGATTCCACTTATGGATCTATAGTGTTAGAATTTGTCAAATGTTTTTTCTGTGTCTCTTGAGATGATCATGTGGATTTTGTCCTTTATTATGGTGTATTGTGTTGATTAATTTTTGTATATTAAATCAACCTTGCATTCCTGGGATATATGCTATTTGATCATGGTGTGAACGTTTTTCTACACGCTTTGAGGCCACCACTTTCTTTGATTCTCCTCCTGCCTCACTGGACATCCCTGCTCTGGTCCCTATGCTGGTTCCTCCTCCTCTCCCCAATCTCTAAGCAGTGGAAAGGCCTCGGGCTCGATCATAGGCCCTTTTCTTTCTCTGTCTACACTCACTTTCTGAGTGAACTCATTCCATTTCATTGCTCTATATTATCTATATATATATTGATGATTCCCAGTGTTATTATTTCCAATCTGTAACTCTCTCCTGAACTCCATGCTTTTTTCCAGCTATCTGTTTAACAGCTTTACTTGGATGTCTAATAGACATATCAAATTTAAGTCCCAAACCAAACTTCTAACTTCCATCCCATATCTGCTTCTCTCACACTTTTTCTTTTCTCACTAAATGGCAACTTCATTCCTTCATTTGCTCAAGACAAAAAGAAAGGGAGTTACCCTTGATTTATCTTTCTCAAAACCTTAAATGTATGTCCAGCCCTGTCTTCAAAATATTTCTTGAATGCAACCACTTCTCACCATTTTCACAACTACCACCCTGGTCTAAGCCAGTATCTTCTCTCATCTGGATTATTGCTATAGCCTCTAAATTGAGCTGTCTGCTTCCATCTTACCTACCCCAAAGCCAACTCTTGACACAACATCAAAAGTGATTCTTTTAAAACTTAAGCTTAATTATCTCATTCCTATATTACTCAGAACCTTCCATCAGCTCACTGTCTGAATAAGTAAATAAAATGTTTCATTGGCCTTATAAGGCCTTCCATGAGCAGACCTCTCCTTCACTTGCCCCTTGTTTCATTCTACTGTAGCCCTACGGCCTTCCTACTCTTCCTCAGAAATGCCATGCAAGCTCCCAACTCAGAGCCTTTATACTTGTTCTTCTTACCAAGAACTTTCTCCCTCAAGATATCCCACATATTTCACTTCATCACTTTGTCTTTGCTCAAATATCACCTTCTAGGCAAGGCCTTTCCTGACCACCCTACATAAAATAGCAACCCAACCCCTACCCCCACCACTCCCCATCTGCCCTACTTTGCCTTTTTTCCTCCTCTGTGGCTCTTTTTACCATCTGACATTACATTTTGCTTCCTTATTTATCTGAATCCCTCCCTCCCCTACCCCCACTAGAATGCAAGTTCCATTAGGCAGGGACTTGTATGTTTTATTTCTGAATTTCCAGAGCAGTACTAATCAAATAATAAACCATCAATAATATTGGAATAAATACGTGTACAGAGGATGAATAAGGAATTTGTTCTAGGCCACATAGCTAGTTGTTGCTAATAGAAAGTAGAAACAAGTGTGTAGATATCTGTCCCAAGTCCTTTCTAGTATCCCTCTCCCTGCCCCCCATTGCCTTTTTTTTATTTGACCTTGCGTTTGACCCCTCTGAGGGGCTTTTTTATATAAACTCACATTCATATTCTAACTTCTGTCTTTCTTCTTCTCTCTTCCTCTCCCTTCCCCTCTCCCTCTCTCCCCCTCTACTTCCTCTTCTCACTTACAGGTTTCTGTTAGTTCATTAATATGGTGTTCATTAAGCACTGGCTCAAATGTACTACTGTATCTTGTGAGAAATGTAATGGAAGCTGATTGAAGACATAGCATTCCTTGAAGAATTGAATATTTGGTTAGCCCCTTCTCCGAAGTCTTTGTGCTCTTGCAGTTCTAGTTGTCTGATCTTTTTTGGCCTTCTGCCTTACACATTCCTTTTGGTCTCTGCCTTGGAAATTAGTTCATAATTTACCCTCATTTTGGCCTCGCAGTAAGCCAGCTGCAGCAGGACCCAAATAAGAAAAGATGTTCCAAAGAGACATTGATGAAGTTAGTCCTACACAGAAACTGACAGAAAGTATGAGACACTCAGGAGAAAGAAGCATGACGTAGGGTGTGAATGAACCTAAAAATGTGAAAAGCTGTGGAAAATGCTAACAACAGAGAATTACATGTGACAAAAAAAATCTAAAGATTGTGACAGGGTACATGTGCAAAGTAAATACATGTGAGACCTGTGAGGTAAGTGTCAAGCTAAAATAATCTAATGAGAAACAGTCAGGCAGTTATGTTAATTAGCATATTTGTTTATGGCATGTACAGTGTGTAATAGGTGCTGTTGAATTTTAATCTCCAAATATTTTCTTTAATTTCTAGGCTTTTGCAGATATGCTGAGAGTAAACAAAAATTTGAAGAGTTTAAATATGGAGTCCAACTTTATTACAGGAGCTGGTATTCTAGCACTGATTGATGCTTTAAGAGATAATGAAACCCTCACAGAGCTCAAGATTGACAATCAGGTCAGTGTGCTGCAGCAGTAACTTGGAGGAAGCTGCTGCCCACGTTGCTGCGTGGGGCCCGGGACTCAGGAGGCGGTGGGAGGAGGACTTTCAGGGAGCCGTTCAGGAAGCTGGTGGTATGAAAGGGCATGAGAGCACATGTGAGGCACCTAGAATATTAACTTAGTATTTATTTTTTGTATTCGTTCTTAGTATATTCATAGAGTTGTGCAACCGTCACCACTATCTAATTCCAGAACATTTTCATAACCCCAAAAAGGAGCTCCATACCCATTAGCAGTCACCCCCCACCAGTCCCTGGGAACCACTAATCTATTTTCTGTGTTTATGCATTTGCCTATTTTGGACAGTTTGTGTATATAGAATTATCTAATATGCAGTCTTTTGTGTCAGCTTTCTTTCATTTAGCAATATGTTCTGGAGTTTCATCCATGTTGCAGCATATATGAGTACTTATTCCTTTTTATGGCTGAATAATCTTCTGTTACATTTGGGTTTTCTACTTTTTGAATATTAGGAATAATGCTGCTGTGAACATTCTTATACAAGTTCTTATAGGAATGTGTTTTCACTTTTAATGGGTGTGGACATAGGAGTGGAATTGCTAGGTCATATGATAACTCTGTTTAACTTTTTGAGGAATAGCCAAATTGTTTTCCACCACAACTCCACCATTTTCCATTCCTACCAGCATGTCTGAGGGTCCCAGTTTTTCCAAGTTCTTGCCAACCCTCGTTACTGTTTGTCTTTTTTATTACTGTCATCCTGTGGGTATGAAGTGGTATCTCATTGTGGTAATCCACAATTTTTTGTGGATTAATGATCTATACCGAACTTTAAAATTTTGTTTCTCTTATGTATGTTATAAAAATTGGGGAAATTTAAAAAGACCAACAGAATCAGCATGTACCGCAATGTCTTACTTCGTCTTGACTTACCTTGAAAAGTATTTTGATCTAGTTTATTAATACTGTTCTGTATTTCTGATTATTCCAGAGGCAGCAGTTGGGGACGGCTGTAGAAATAGAAATGGCCAAGATGCTCGAGGAAAATACAAATATCCTTAAGTTTGGATATCAGTTTACGCAGCAGGGTCCCCGAACCAAGGCAGCTAATGCTATAACAAAAAACAATGACTTAGGTAAGACATATGCAGTATCAAATGAAATTTCTGAATTGTACCATTAAGCTAATGTATTAGAGGAACTTTTTTTACTTTTAAAATAAATTTTAACAGAGTGAGATTATTGGGCCTTTGTTTCTAAAGTCTGCACAATCCTTTTTATACTGATTGAATCAGAGTTCAGTTTAAGTGAGGTTGTAGTGATTATTGGGATGGTTAGTGGGTAAAGTTTACTTCCCGTGACAATCATTTCACAGCTTTAAGCGAACAAAGTTTTCTACAACAAGCATTACACTAAGTGCTTCCTATAATAAAGATTTTGTTGCCAGCTATAAGTCACCCCTGGGAGCTATTGAAACAAAGACTTCAACATTATAGGAACGTTTTTGCCCTTTTTATCAAACAGACCGAGGGAAAATTCAACTTTATTGATAAAATATAGAATAACTATAATTTTAACCCTTCTTATAGTCAGTGGTATGTAAATGTTTGCTATACTTACCAGTCTCTCTAACACAGCTATTACTGGGCAGTTGGTCTTGTCACTGCACACATTTAGCTCAGTAGTCTCCCATTCTTGCATGGTTCCTATTGAATTGCTGAGGCTTGTGGCTTCTACTTGAACTATATTTTCCAGCCAAGGCTGAATTCAAAAATATGATGCTTATAATTTTGTTTCTACATGTTTCCAAAAATCAACTCTTAAGTATGGTGTTTGTCATTGAAATACTCATATTTTAAAATATGCGTTAGACAAGAATTAAAATAGAACTTCTTAAAGGGAGTAACATTTCAAAGTGATGCAGTTCATTTAAGCTTCAGCCACATTTGAATTGAATTTGTATTCTTTAAAGGTTTTTGGAGCAGAAAAAATACAGCTTCGTAATCCAGATCACTGGGGAAAAGAAAATACTAGCTTAAACTCTTTCTGTCCTTTCATGACTATAGTTTCCCATAGAAGATTTTAGTCTCTTGCTTTTTAAAAGAGAAAATTGGTGTGTTTTGGTGTATTTTTGATTCTAGATGGCATGTGCAAAGTCATGTTAATTATTTTAGTATTGGTTCACTAGTTGGTTTCTGTATTTTCCTTCAGGTGTTTAATTTTGCTTTTTAGAATCATGTTTCCCAAGTCTGACTAAACTTCACAAATAATTGGAGAGCTTCAAGACATATAGATTATTGGCTTGAAAAAAGTTTTTACTTAGTAAGTTAGTTATACTTCATTGTAATTATCTATTTTCAAAGCTTTTTTTTAAAGTTTTTTGAGGGCAGGGACCATGTCTATCTGTTGAATCCACAACTTTCTTAAAACCATGCCTGACAATAGTAGGTACTTAATAAAGATTTCTGAAGTGAATAAGGAAAGCGATAGAAATTGAACCCTGCTTAGAGTTACAATTTTCTAGTAACTGCAAAGCCATAAACTTAAGCAAAAAGCATCCTCTGTTTTTCCTCTCCTCTGAAACTACCTTAGCTGTCCCAGGATCCCAACAGATTTGTAGCCCCAGCCATTTCTGTCACCTGTGTCCCTCCCAGCAGGCAGGTGGTCCCAGCAGCTGTCATTGCAGGAGAGCAGCACAATGAGAACCACGTCAGTGACAGGGATGCCAGCCTGTGCAAGGCCTCAGCACTTGTGCTCTTCTGAGGGGCCTGTTGTGGCAGATGGGTGATGAGGGGACAGATAAAAACTATTTCCTAGACTGCTTTGTGTTGACACTGAGCAGTTGAGTAGCTGTCCAAGGCCGTGTGTGACAGACGTGAGGAGGCCGTGCTAAAGAAGTTGTGGTCTGACACAAAGCAGAACTGAGAACCAAAAGCTTTGTGCAGGTAGCTCTGTTGACCACCCCCACCACCGCTCCACCCCTCCCACCACCATCCACCTCCACCCAATGCTGTTTCATTCTGATCCAAACTAGATTTTCAGACATGAAATCTCTATTCTCAGGTATGAAATGAGAATGAGTACATTCCTACAGTGTGGAATTGCATGGATAAAAGGTCAGATTTGGGAGCAAGCAAGTTATTTACATGCTGAGGACAGCCTGCAAATTTTTTTTTTTTTAAAAATTTTTATTGGGGAATTGGGGGGATGGGAACAGTGCTGGGGAATTGGGGGAAGGGGAACAGACAAGTTGCTGTCGTTTTGTTCTTCAATCTAGTTGTGGAGGATGTTGCTTCACTGGCCCAAGTTGGCACCATCATTGCGCTCTTCTCTGGCGAGGCAGATCAGTCGCCGGCTTCTGGACGGCCGCTCACTGCGGCTGCTGGCCGCTCACGCTGGCTGCTGGCTACATACGGTAGCCCATGGCAACCCACTGCCACAGGGAGTGCAGCCTACACCGTCGCCGGCGACTCATAGCAGCCCAGCTCCAGGTTGAGCTGTTGTTCAGCATCTTAGCTGTGGAGGGCAGTGTCACTGGCCCTCATATGTGGGATCCGAACCGGGGCCCTCTGGCATCCCAAGCGAGTTCTTAACCATCGCGCCACTCAGCCGGCCCCAGCCTGCAAATTTTATAACTGACTCCCATAGCAAGAGGCTGCCTCCAGAATAAACTTCTTAGTACTTACCACTTGAAGCTAACAATAAGAAAGAGATGTCAGCAGATTAAGAGGGAATGCTGGGAGAAGCACTTAGATTACATGGTAAAGAACTTAGATTTCTTTGGATTTTATGTGGGAAGCATTTGGAAGCCATTTTAGGCCACTGGATACATGATAAAAATGCTAGTTCAAAAAATTATTCTTATTACTCTTCTAGAGATAGAGAAGATACGAGGTTAGTTTTATTTCCCAGCCAGCCCCCAGCCAACGGCTGGACAAGCTCTTACGCACGCCATGGAGTGTCTGGTCTCAGCCATTGAAGGCCAGTAAGAGGAGCCAGCAGTCAGAAGCGCATGAGAGCAGAGCACCTGTAGCCTGGCCAGGAGGCCAGGTGCATCTATTGGCTTTTCATTCTTCTGTAAAACAGTCGATTCAAGCTGAACAATGACAGCTGCCTTCCTACTTGCTTCCATAGACAGAATAGAGTATAAAATTAATAGACCAAAAATCTAACTTAAACAGAGGAACTTACTGATAAGAGTATCAAAACCAATAATGTGTAAATGCAAATTCTGTAACTGTAAAAGCTAAATTGGCTTTCCACAGCCTAAAAAAGATGGCTTGCCAGGCTGTCAGGACCCTCCCATAACCCGTCTGTGGTAGGTGATGAAGCTGAGTACTCTCTGTGGGGTGTTGACTGTGTTCTCAGTACTGCGCTAAGCAGCTTGCTGTGCCTTTAACTTCCCAGCCATAAGGCACAGACACTATTATTCTCCTGTTACAGAGAATGAGCTGAGGCTCAGAGAGGTTCACTCACTTGCCAAGGAGCACACTACAGAGAAATGACAGCACCATGATTCCTACTCTGTTTGTTGCCGGCTCCAGAGCCTGTGCTTTTTGTCCTCTCTTGATAGGGCTTGGCCACCATGCTGAGGAGCCCTGACCTGGGGCTCTGGGCAAAGCTCCCTGGTGGTTGATGGGTGAGAGCAAAGGTAGCAAGACCCTAAAGTGGAAGGCTGTGCCCTGCCATGGAACACAGCCTAGTGGTTCGGGGTCACCAGTCCATGAGGAGGCTGGGGTGCATGTGCCTCAGCTCTGTGCTTTGTCCTCTACTCCATCAGATGGACTAGCTGGCTGACCTCTGGCAGCCACACTACATGGTAGCCAGCTGTGATCTCACCACATTACCAGGGCCTAAGAGTTTTATCACTTTGCATTTGTTGTTTTGTCAGAGCTCTGAGCTGGTTCATTTTGTAGGAGACAAGAGAAGGAAAATGTGGAGTGCAGAGTAGCAAGTCACCTAGAAAAGTGACAAAACTGTTTTTGGTATGTTCTTTCACAGACTAAGGAAATAAATTGTAGTGTCTAATCAGAAGAGCATGCAAATAGTTACTGTTAATACTTTCTAAGCCCAGCTGCCTGAGAGCCATTTCAGAATTTAACACAATAATTCATCATTTTTAATGGAGGTATAAACTTTTTTAATAAGCAAATGAGACAGGCACAGTGACTTGAAGGTGGTAGCTAAACACTGTTTTAGATTTCTAGCAGGGCCGTAAGCACAGGTGAGCTTAGGACACGTAGTTCTCATTTAGAAGCCCCGTATTTCTCAACAGGTAAATGACAAGGATGAAGGAGGTGAAATTTTTTATTTTAATGGTCACGTGAACTGGAAACAGGCATTTCAATTTTGTATTGTCTATAACTGGATTATACAGAAACTTGTTTGTAACAAGCAAGTTAACCTTGTACAAACTAACAGATTTCAAAAATACTTTCTTTTATTTTTTCTCATAGTTCGCAAGAGACGAGTTGAAGGAGACCACCAGTAAGTCCCCCAAGGTATAACCTTTGGAAGACTTCGAAAGCTCACCAAAGGCTTGTGTTGGTGATACCAGATGTAAAACTTTCCTGGGTAGAAGGGAAAAGACTGGAAATCTTTCTTTCTTTTTCTAAACTACATGTATCTTTTTTTTAGTTTGGTACAACTTTCAAATTGTAAAATCAATAGTAGGTGATATTTTATATTTTAAAGTGTTTTTTCTACTTTCTGCTAAAATCCATTTTAATTTAGCTTGAGTGATTTATGTTGGATTTTGGGTTAAGAAATACAATTATTAAAAAACAGGAAGTCCTAGAGAACAATATGAACACTTTAAGAACCAATCTTTCTTAAACCCAAAAGGGCCGTCGCTGATATCAGGACTGCTGTTGCACCTCTTAGGTACAAGGCATTTCCTTATTCTAGGACATGGAGACTTTTCCACATTTTAGAAGACATGAGCTTGGCACAAATGTGCTTTGTGCTTCTATTAAGAAAGCCCAATGCCAGAATTTTAAAACAGATTGACTCAAAAATCTCATCATCTGTTTAGAAGTAAAAGCAGATCTCTAGGAGAGAAAATAGTCTCCTGTGCATTTCGGGTTGCTGCACTTGTCTGATGTGTTTTAAAAGGATAGTGACATCTAAATTCATTACAGTTTTTATTTTATTTAATAATGTGGGCATTATTAAGTTTTTGTGAAAGCCCATAGTTAAAAGCACCTGAATAGGAAAGCTATTTTCTTTCCTGAGAAGGCATATAGCCAACTCTCGGTTATTTAGGGTAAAACAAAAAAAGAAAGCTGTTGTTAAATACATGAAATCAAAGATAACAAACATGATGGAGGTTAAGTCTGAGGAGCACACAGAACAGTCATTTAACTGATGGTTACTGTAAATGAGAAACTGGCATGTATATAAACCAAGTGTTGCACAGTTTAGTGAGAAGTTTCTTTACGCAATGCAGAATTCTTTAAACGGTATTTAAAAAAAACAAAAAAACGGTATATTTAATCACTTGCTACAAATTTTCCAACCAGTAAGGAAAACAGATCTTCTTCATAAGCCCAATTTTTACTCTGTTTCCTTTCATCTTGTACTTTTTTGTCCATATTGTGTAAAAGTAATTTCTCATAACAAAGGTTGTCTTCCTGTTACTCAAAGTATGAAAGTGACAATTGAAGCGTACTGTGCTGGGAAGACTGACTGCAGCACCACCAGTGCAATAGAGGATTTGGACCTGTATCCAGGCCGTTTCCAGGGCAGCCGCAGAAGCAGGAGATGGAAGCATCACCACCGCTACTGAAGGCAGGGAGGGGAAAGGAATCTGAGCAATCCTGGCCTCAAAAATGCAGGCCTGTCTGTATCACTAACAGGGAGATTTTTCTAAAGGGAAGATCTCGTTTCAGAGGAGTGGAGAGGTCTGTAGTTAATGTTTGAAATTGAATTACAAAATGTCTACCCCTCTGGCTTGGGGTGGACAGTTTACCCAATGAGGTAGGCAGCTTCTTGTGTACTATGGTAATAAGCCTTCTTAAGGTGTTTTTGTTTCTTTGAATCAGTGTCCAGTGCTTTAAAGGGGCCAAAGATTTACTTTGCACTATTCCCTTGCGGTTATAGGCTGCTGATTTTTTTTTTTTTTTCAGTTAGCAAGTTTCTTTCTCTCTCCCTCTCTCCCTCCTTTTCATATACAACTTTGGAAATGTACTTGATTTAAGAGACTGCACTGTTCCAGCAGGGTGGGGCGCAAGCATGGAGCAGGTAGGTTAGGCTACCATTACACTTTCAGCTAGGCTGCCTTGCTTGCCCTGTCCTGTAAGACAATACATTGATAAGTATGTTACCCCTTCCTCCCATAAGTTGTTTTTTTTGTTCTTTTTTTTAACATAGGTAGGTAGAATTGTATATCATACTTATGGGTAATATCTTTTTCACTTATTATTTATCAAAGTTTGAAGAAGTTGAGTGTTTTGCTTGTACCATTCCAGTTCGGAGTTACAACAGTTCATTATGTAATTGAAGAAAAGATTTCTTCATAAATAACTTTAAAGATGAACATTCATCCTATTGAATGCAGAAAAATCTTTCAAGAATTGTAATTACAAGGGAGAAAACTGATGTTTACTTTGATCTTTAAAAATCCGGCACCTCTTAACCTTTTAATAACTCTCAGAATTTCTACATTGCTCTAAAATTTTGTAATAGATTACGGTTGATTTTTTTAAATCAAGTAGTCTTGATTTTTAAACCAAAGGTATTCTAAGACCTTAAGTTTTGTAGTCTAACCAGTTTAAACTTATCTGGTTATCTAATCAAAAATATTCTTTACATTATTAAATTGCTGTTTTTTAAAAGTTTGTAACTTCCCGTTTTATAAAATTTTATATTCATATTTGACGTTCTAAGTTTTCCATTATGTCTACATGAAATTGTATGTATTTTAAAAGTTAATATTAACTGCTAATATTTGTTATTAAAATGGATTTTGGTGCTATATACTTGTAGCGAAAGCCTGGTAGAAATCTAAAATGTAGGTGAAATACATTTTCTAAGGGTGCCTGTCATTTAAAAGACCAAGTAAACATTTTGTGTTTAAAAAAATTAGATTGTTAGAGACTTCAAGAATTACCTTGATGGTTAAATTGCAGATTCTTGTTATTTGAATGAAATAACCCGCACATTTGCTTTATGCACTGTGTGCACTCTGGAAAAGTTACATGTAAATAGAACTCTGTAAATCATTTTTCCATTGACAGTATCTGATGTATTTTCATTTTTAAAAAGGGATGCCATGGTATAAAAAAATTAGAAGAAATGTTTTGATAAAATGTTAGTCATGTTCTATTGTACATTATTTTAAACCCTTGCAGCCATTAAAATAAGATGAAAAGATTCATGAGGTTTCATAAAATCTTATATTTTTGGCTCTGTGTTCCCAGGGCTGCCTCACTTTTCCTTATAAAACCACCGTTACCTCCGAGCAGATCCACGAGCATGCTTTTTCTGGAGTCTTTAGCAACTGCCATTCTCTTTAGGTTCAGTACTGTCCAACTTCGCTCCTTCTCACAATGCCACTTCCCTTAAAAACTTTTTTTTCTAGTTTTATTGAGTTATAATTGACATATTGTGTTAGTTTAAAGTATACAACATAATGACTTAGTATAGGAATATATTACAAAGTGATCACACAATAAGTTTAGTTAACATCCATCACCTCACATAGGTAAAAAAGTTCTTTTTCCTAGTGATAAGAATTTTTAAAATCTACCGCTTTAGCAACTTTCAAATATATAATATAGTATTGTTAACTATAGTCACCATGCTGTGCATTACATCCCCAGGACTTACTCCTTTTTAACTGGAAGTTTGTTATCTTTTGACCACCTTCGCCTGTTTACCTCATCCTCACCCCCTGCCTCTGACAACTACCAGTCTGCTCTGTTTCCATGAGTTCAGCTTTTTTAGATTCTCATTTGTCTTTCTCTAACTTATTTTACTTGGCATAATGCCCTAAAGGCCACTTCACTTTTGAATAGTATTAACCAAAGACATGACATCCACGAGACGGGGCCCTTTTTTAGATTTGTCTGCTTGAGAATTATTTTTTTAAAAAATGGGCACACATACATATGCTTGCACACACACATTGCATAAAAACCTTTATAATTTCAAATAAATGCTCACTGTATATTTTTCAGTCTTTTGGATAAATTCTATTTGGTTTCAGTTATATTAAAAGCTTGAAAATTACCCTTGTAACAATGCATCATCCTTTGTCACATAAAATAAGTATTTAAATGCATTTATTAATACTAAAATATCCAAAGTGTTATAGATGCTTCTTTATTTTTTTCAATTTTTATAACTATAAAAGCAGTAAATTTTATAACACTGATGTTTAAATATTACAAAATATCATTAACCCGGTTCATAACAGCATAGTGGTTCCTTTTGAGGAATATGTAAGATGGGCATTTAGAACTTAACCACTTCATACTGGGATAAATAATTTTAATAAAGTTTATCACATATCCTATAGACTTGGACTTTTTGAAAATCCCTTTAATTCAAAAGTTCATTCCTTACACACAGACACACCTTTTCAAGAACAAGGTTATTAGTGTCCCTAAATTATTCCATCCCACCCTATTAAGTTAAACCATATAAAATTGCCAATACCTGAATATGTTTACCCATAAAAATAGTAATTTCATATGGTTCAATCTAATACCATCAGTACTAGGCCAGGTCTGTCTATGAAACTGAATTGAGTTCACAAATGTGAAGACACAGGCTCCTATGTTACAGTGCATTCTGGACCTGATTAGCAGCCAATCCTGCTTTTAAAAAGTAGAGATTATTATTACAGTAAAGCAGAGATATCAGTCACCTGTATCCACCAACCAAAATCAATGAAATGTGTAATGATTTGAGGAAATTTGTAGGGAAAAGTGTCAATTTATTGGGTTGTCGGAAAAGTCACGACATATTTTGTCTGTTTTTCAAAGGTCATTTATTTATATAAACAAAGATCAATCAATGATATATTGTCCGTTTTGTTCGATAACCTTTTACCATGTTTCAGTGAGCTTCATAATTCCTTGTTCATAGAAGGACCTGTCTTTATTTGTGAAAAACTGAACAAGTAGCTGATTTACAGCCTCATCTGAATTGAATGTTATACCACGCAAGGAGTTTTAAAGAAAGAGAAACAAGTGGAAGTCTGACGGCGCAAGGTCAGGCGAGTATGGTGGGTGTGGCAACACATCCCATCCAAGCTCCAATAATTTTTGACGGGTGATCAGACTTGTGTGTGGTCTCACGTTGTCACGATGGAACACAACTCCTTTACGATTAACAAGCTCTGGACGTTTCTGGATGATGGATTTGTTCAAACTGTCCAATTGCTGACAGTACACATTCAAATTGATTGTTTGGTTCCTTGGTAGAAGCTCGAAAAACACGACACCTTTAAAATCCCACCACACAGAGCATAACCTTCCTCTGATGAATGTCTGCCTTCAATGTGATTTGAGGCGAATCATCACTTCAGGACTAAGACTATTTGCATACTACATTGTTGTAAACAATCCACTTCTCATCACCAGTTATCAGTCACTTCAAAAAAAGGATCGTTTTCCTCACGTTTAATGAGCATACTGCAGATGTTTATACGCTGTCAAATGAACTTCTTTTGAGTTCATGCAGAACCCAAATATCAAGCTTGCTTACGTATCCCAGCTTCTGCAGGTGGTCGTGAATGCTTGAATGATGGATGTTCAATGTTTTTGCAATCTCATGGCGTGTAGCATGGGTTTGACTCAATGCCTTTATTTTGTCGTCATCAACCTCGGTGGGCCTCCCTGACTGAGGAGCGTTGTTAAGATCAAAATCACAAGCACGGAATTTCGTGAAACATTCGTTGGCACTGATGTTCTTGTAGAGCATTGTCACCGTAAACTTTATGCAACTTTTCACAAGCTTGATGCGCATTCTTCCCTTTATGGAAGTAAAACAGTAAAATATGGCAAAAATGCACAATTTGATCCATCTTCAACTTGTAAAATCTCCAAAACTCAACCAAATCGCTCAATTTTTTTTTTTAGAATGAAGCTAGAACTGTCAGCTGTCAAATGACATAGCAATAACTTAGATGCGAATGACTAGTATTTCCACGAATGAACTAGTGCCATCTGTCGCAAACTTGCATCATGACTTTTCCGACAACCCAGTAGTTTAAAATGTTCACAGTTCTGAGACTTAGGGGACTAACTTCTCCTTGACTCTTCAGTGTTGGCTGCCTTCTGAGGATGGCTGTTGGATTACATTCACTTTGAGGAAGGAAGCCTGGCTGCCTGTCCTCTCTGGTAAGTTGAAAGCTCAAGCACTTGAGTTGTCAGGTAACCTCAGCTCCTGCGAGTCCAGGTGGATGTGGTGCCAGGACCTGTAGCCATGGAACTACCGTGCCCTCATGCTCAGCCTGGTAGCACCCTGCCCCTTTAGGTGCCAAATAATAGGAGTGGCCAATCACATGAGGGTCCAAAATTGCCAAACATCTTTTGTCCTTCAGATGTTAAGTTTTCCTGCATGTCTGCAAAGGTTGAGGCCCTAGAAATCCCAGCCTGACTCCTCCACCCCAGTCCTGTCTGCAGACATAGCAGAGCCTCAAGGCCAGCCCTTATAAAGGTGACCTGGGCCAAGTGGCTCAGTTGGTGAAGAGTTAGTTTAAGAGGGCGAGCTTTGAGCAACAGGGCCACCGGTTCGATTCCCACATGGGCCAGTGACAGTGAGCCCAAGCTGAGCTGTCGCTGAGCTGCCACCCGGTGGCAGGATGGCTCAGCTGGTGAGAGCACATGCTCCTAACAACAAGACTGCCTGTTTGATGGTGGGCTACACCCGCCCGCAACTAAGATTGAACTCAGCACCTTGAGCTGAGCTGCTGCCCAGATGGCTCAGTGGATAGACCATGCACTCTTAACAACAAAGCTGCTGGTTAGACTCCCACATGGGATGGTGGCTACGCCCACCCGCAACTAAGATTTTAACACAGCACCTTGAGCTTAGAGGCCACGAGCTGCCGACTGGCACCCTCCACAACTAAGATTGAAGAACAACAACTTGGCTGGTCCCCCTCCCCAATTCCCCAACACTGTTCTCC